TCCAAGTTCTTATCACACCAAAATCTGCTAAAACAGTGTCTCATCAACTTAGACATACCTTACATGAAATTACTAGAGTTGCACAATCTCATTCTATCCATGTCATATCTAATACTCCTCCTCTTCCTCAAGATCTTATAGAACAAATCTTCCCTAATTCCTCATATCACGATTAACTACAATCAATTAATTTAGAAGTTTCTTCTTATAAATCCTTATCATTTTACACAGACGATTCTCTCTCTGCTTCAAAAACTGATCAATGTAAAATGGGTATAGGTTGGATCTGTTATACTGATTTAAACTTACAATTAATGTTCAATGCTTCCATTAATTATTGGCCCTCCTCAACTCGAGTTGAAATCTTCGCTATTCTCTCAGCTTTAGTTATCTTTTCCAAATACTCAACTATACAAATTTATACTGATAGTCAAGCTACCATTCATGGCTTTCACTCTCACATTACTCAACAATCTTTTTTTACAAGAACTAAAGAAAAATCAGCCAACTACTCATTATGGTATCTCATTCAATATATAATGGAATCTTCTGAACTTTATGTTAATCTTCACAAAGTTAAAGCTCATAATGGAGATTTCTCTAATGATATTACTGACTCATTAGCTAAAGCTAGTTGTGATCTTCCTTCTTTATCTCCTTCCTTTGTTCATACTCCTAGATTATCTCTAATTTTCGCTTTCAATAATATTCCTATTGAATCTTATATTCGTCAATTTTTCAAGAATCTCTTCTCAGCTTCCAACTTCTCAGCTTTTTTAGATCTTAATAGAAATGATCACATTAATACTCATAATAATTTTAACTGGTATCTTATTTGGCAGTTCTTTACCCTTAACTCCTCTTCCTTATCAACATCCTTTGAAACTTCACAACTCAAATCCTTTATTATAAAAATTTTTGTTAATGAACTTTCTACTCTCTCTCGATTAGAACAATTAAAACCTGATCTCTATCAAAATTGGTGTTGTGTTGATTGCAATATTACTACTGAAACTTCTACTCATATGTGGTCTTACTTAGCCTACTCTACAATTATCAACAATATTATCTCACAAACCAAAGATCTTTTCTTAGCTGATTTGAAAAAACACTCCAACCCTAACTCATACTATGACGCTTTACCTGAACTACCCTGTTCTTATGATGAACTTTTTGCATTCCCTTCTTCCTCAATGGATGGATTTCTAAATGTCATTCAATGCCAACTTCCCAGTGAATTCATTTCACTCATTCACAAAATTACAAAGAATAAAAATAGTTGCTATATAACTATAGTGAATTCCTTAATCTTCTTCTTTAAAAATCTATACGATAATGTATGAAAATACAGATGCAAACTTTTCATTGCTTATGAACTTTCAAAAGGCATTAATAAATAAATCAAATGCAAGCAAGATGCCTGCAAACGTTTACCACACTCCCTTAAAAAACCTACATTCCTACTTTGGGAATCATGGATTCATAAGACAAACATATATGGTAACTCTTAAACAGATTTTTAGATATGCACTGACTTTCTTCTTTTTCTTTTTCTGGTGATAACAGTAGTCATTAAATATGCATTTAGTGGGTTTGTTAGAGGGAAAAGACGATGATAGGTTGATTCAAATGGGTTTGTAATATAACTACGAGGGATAACTAGTACTTTAAAATTAGTTTTTTGTTTCTACTTTTGTATTTACTCCTTATTAAAATTAAATAAAGTTATTAGCAATGCCACATCGTTAAAAAAAAATGATTTCGACCATTTCGCCCATTTTGGATATCCGAAATGATCTATTTCAACTTCATGTATAATATAGATGAAAGCCGATCTAGTTAATGGTTTAATGAAGATCATTCAAGACATTATTTTTGATGAGCAAGAATCACCTTATCTTCTATCAGTAATTTGATAAATATAAAGCCTACCATTAACTTATTAGATGGTATAAAAGTTGTACCAATAGTACTGATCTGATATACCTGAGAAAGTAAAAATAGCAAGTCATGTTCACGTTTGCAAATACCAATTTGTCTAGTCTGAATTATAATGGTACATAAAAATCAGGATCTTACATTAAAAAAAGTAAAAATAAACTTTGGGAATAAAGAATTTGCTACCAGTTTTTCTTTTGTAGCAGTATTTAGGATTCACACTCTTAGAAATATTCTATTTAAACCTTTCAGCTTCGAAAGACTCTAACATATAAAAAAATGTAAAAGATTGCAAAAAAGAAAGGTTGAAAAAGACCGGTTAATTTCATTGTCTTGTAAAAAATAGTTAGCATTTATTGATTTGTTTTTTTGTTTATGCTAATTGTTAATAAAGTATATCATTTTGATTTATTTATTAATGAAAAACTAGCTGTGACGATTATTGGTTAATAGTCACGTGATGTGAACGGAGAAACACACGTGACCGGAATTTTTTTCATAATGCATAGAAATATAATCCTTCGCTTCGCTCCGGACAATTACATAATATAGGTATTCGTCTACATTTATTTCAATAAATAAATATAAAATTATTTTGAATAATAAATCATGAAATAATATTTTCAAAAGCTAAGGATTACTATATAAGGTAATTAATATTACCTGAAAAGTGTAATAAGGTAATGTTATAATTAAATTATGTAAATTGTTCTTGATCAATTTTAATTTAAGTATTGTTCCTAATTTTAAAAAAAGTAAACTAATTAAACTAATTATATTACTATTACATATAAACGCATTGTACTTGTTCATTCATATGGACTTCAATAAGGTCATTTGCTGATGATAAAGTTATTTTTCCTTTTTCAATCATTCTTTGAGCTACATTTGTGACGGCATGCGACGGACAACCTGCCGCAATGGCAACATTTTTTGCGTGAAGACTCATGTGTCCACGTTGTATACCTTCTGTGGCTAATGCACGAAGAGCTGCAAAATTTTGAGCAAGACCTATACATACCATTGACTAAAAGGAAATCAAATATTAGTAAAAAACATAATTAAATTTTTTTTTTTCGATATATTTTTTTTAATTAAGGAATTTACCATAGCTAAATCTCGCGAATTTGGATTTCCCATTATTCCCAAATTATATTCATATACTTTATTGGATTTAAGAACACCACCAGCGGTACCAACCGCTATAGGTAATTCTAGTTCGCCACAAAACATTAAACATTCATCATCGCTTTTTCCTGTTGCAGCTAGATGTTCATCTTTTTCAATCCAATAGGTAGTTAAAGGTCTATAACTATTATTAGACTGAGAATTATGAGTATTCTCATGATTAGTTCTTACTCCATCACAAGCCCAAGCATGAACAGCGGCTTCAATAGCACGCCAATCTTGGCCAGTAGCTAAAGCAACTGCATCAATTCCATTCATGATTCCCTTATTATGAGTTGTTGCCCGGTAAGGGTCAACTTCGGCCCATTCATAAGCTTCGATAATACGTGCAGCTACTTCCTTGCCACTTATTGATTTATATGCAAGCATAGGTAATGGTATACGAAATGAAGCCTATAAATAAGTATGAATTCAGATCAATTAAGAGAATATACGGTACAAGCTGTTGATAATGAATTACCTTAGACATCCTTTCCACATTCAAATTACTAACAATTCGTAAGCCAATTCGACCACCAGATAGTTCGGCAAGAAATGGAGCTACGCCCTCCGCCACAGTGCTAGCACAATTTGCACCCATAGCATTACAAACGTCAATCGTTATGTGAACCACTAACCATTCCCTGAAATTGGCTGAACTTATTGTGCAATGTTTTCGATTTTTATTGGCTTTGCGTGGTATTCTTCGAACATTAATATCTAATACACCGCCACCCCGCTTTACCATATTATCACAATAGTTATTTGCATGTTTAATAATTTCGGATTTGCTTCGTAATATCTATAGAAGGAAATTAATTTAGTTTTAGAAAAGTCTATGGAAATCAAAATTTTTTATTTTTATTTTTATTTTATACGTACATACCTTGTCTATGGCAAAATTCATATTCTCTTGTGAGATATCTAAAATACAGACTTGAGCCACTATAGTGTTTCTCATAGGAGCCGTTGCCTTAAAACCATTATAAGCAGATATAGTTTTAGCAGCTCCAGAAACTCCTGCGATAACTGATGGTTCTTCAATTGCCATGGGCATTATTATAGGTTTTCCGTTGATTATGAAATTCAAGGCCAAACCAACTGGTAATCCAATAGTTCTAAATTTCAGAATGAATTGATCTGTTCATATAAATTGACTTGATTCATTTCACTTGAATATGTACATACCCCACACAATTTTCAATCATATTATCCGCTATATTTTCATCAAGTCCATTAATCGGAAAAGGCCTTTTGTCATTAGTTGCTACGGATAAACATTCTAATTTATTTATTAGATGATTAAGATTATTATTTTTAAGTGTAGAGAGAGAATTGTCATTTTCGAATATTTCGGAAGAAAATTCTACTGGTATAGGTGAATTACATGGAGAGGTATTAGGTGTAACATATACAGAGGAGACGACTGAACTAGAAGGTTCTGATGAAGTAAAGACTTGTGGAAAGACCAGCTTTAATTGAGTTTGACGTTCATGCAAAGTCTTTTTATAAAAGCCTGACCATTTTGCTTGGATAACTTCGTGATTTACAAATAGCTCGAACATTAATAAATTGATTTGTCCCCAAAAAATGGTTGTTTTATGGCCTTTTTTTTTTAAGAGCACACCTTTTGATTGAAAAAAAAACAAAACAAAACAAGGAAAAAGTTTATGAAAAACCACGACACGTGTATTTATACTAATAGTGATGCAGTTATTTGATGTAATTGGTTAGTATTATTTCTCCATAAAATCATAAAAACCATTAATCCTCCCCAATCATTTCACTGATGGAAGAAACCACTTTTAAAGTTGACACTGGCAAAGGATTCAACCTTAGTGCCACACTTTTCTTAAAATCTATTGTACATAGTGAGAGTATCGTAATTGTGTGTCATGGTCTTTTAAACACACGACTTTCAGAAACCGTTCGTACCGTTGTCGAAAGAATCCCATACCACGCATTGTCCTTTGATTTTCAAGGCAACGGATTGAGTGAAGGGATAACAGGTTAAAACCATTTTTTTTTTTCATTTTGAAAAGTTCAAAATTGAAAAAGATTCTTCCTTTTCTCAAATAAATCATTTTCATTAAGCATATGGGAACTATGAAGAAGAAGTGGAAAATGTTCGTTGTATAGTTTCATATGTTCGAGAAAAACTCGAACGCAAGGTATTATGCATCTGTGGTCATAGTAAAGGAGCAGCAGTGGTGCTCTTATACGCATCAAAATACTCGGATGTTCCATTAATTATAAATATTTCAGCTCGATACGACCATACACAAATTCCACCCAGTCGCTTTAGACCGGAACAACTTGAAGAATTAAAAACAAAGGGATCTTTTGTTTGGCTTAAACTCGGTAATCAAGATTATGTCATTCGACAAGAAGATATGAATGCGAGTTTAAGTTTAGATATGTCAGTTGTAAAGAATATTGATAAACGAAAAATAAGAGTGTTGACTGTTCATGGATCAAAAGATGAAGTATGTCCTTTAGAAGGATCATACACTTATGATTTGTTAATGGGTCCCAAACCATATCATAGTTTAACGGTCATTCAAGGTGCTAATCATTGTTATAATAATGAGAAACATAAAACGATCCTGATTGATAAAATAACAGCTTGGCTAAATGAATTTGTACCTTGGTCTTCCAATCTTTAAAAGAACCAACATTTTATTTTTTTGAGCAAATATTATAATGATAAAAAATAATTAATTGTAAAATAAAATAAAATATAATTATGTAACAATTTTATACAAACTCATTATTTATACATGTAATAAAATATAACGTTGCAATTACTAAATTTCCTTATTCTAAATATTTCTGATGATGTACTTAATAAAATAATGACACGTTGTATAATAAAAATATATTCATCACAAACTTTAATTTATTATGAAAAATGTTGAGGCTCAGGGAAGAATATTCCAGGATTTTGACCTTGTCCTTGTCCCTGACCTTGTTCTTGACCTTGACCTTGACCCGGAAATTGTGGTTGTGGAATCGAAATATTCGGTGGAGGACCTGGAATCGGTGCTATAGGTGGAGAGGAATAAGGTTGTTGGTAATTTGTTGGTGAGATAGGAGAAGGTTGAGGTTGAGGTTGTGGGAAAGGTTGTTGAATGTTGAATTGTAGTGGATGTTGTTGTGGTGTTGAATGTATATTTTGCATTGGAACACTTTCTTGAGTCGGTTGAGTGGATGTGTCGGGTAAACTATGCTCTAACGTTGAACTTGAATCATTAGATGGTTTATTATCCGGGAATATGGTCGGACCTTGTGTCGCTGCCGGACGTCTATTCTTACGCCAATCATTTGCAATTAAAACGAGTGAACATAACCAAGCTGTTAGAGCGAACCACCCGAAAGCATTAGCAGCTCGTTGAGTCCTACAAATATTTGGTAACCCTTTGATAAAAGTTTCATTCTTTGGTCCACTAGTGTAATTTTCATATCTACCATCTAAAGGATCACATTTCCTTATTAAAGCGGCATCGATGGTTAATAAAAATGTCACTATAAGTATGAGTACAGCCCAAATTGCTGAAAGTACAAATTCTATTCTAGGGATTCTTAATGCTCTTGCCGCATTTTTAAACTTTCCCTTTGTAATATATAAATGAGGAATAACTACCATGGCTGCGGCAAAAAATATTGATATAACTATAATGAAAAGGAAAAACACTGAAAATAAGCTAGCAGAAAAAAATTTATTATCCCATCCAATAACCGCTGAAATGGTAGCCATTGCTAAGAAGGCAAAAAATATTTGAAACCCTCGTAAACCCCATTGAAGCTTTGTTATAGGTATTTCAAACGTATCAGTTTCATCATACGCCATTATAAGGTTTCGTAAAATAACAACTTTTTGGTCTTTGATATGAACGAAATAATTGAGTTCGGAGAAAGAAAAAAAAAAGGAAAAAAAAAAAATAATCCCTTAAAAATAAATTTGAACTTTTTGTAGTACAATGAACACATACTTTTATGACACCGCCACTTGATAAATTGAATGGAATTTGTGCTAAAAATTCTTTCCGACTTTCCGTCTATTACACCCTCGCCTTAATTGATACCGGGAACGTTCTATTTGATTGAATTCCTGGTAAAATGATTTATTCCCTTGAATTATTTATTTTTCTACATTAATTTCTTTTCATTTCTTTTCATTTTTATTATTTTAAAATGATATTCCATTTTTAGAAAATAATTAAAATGAATAAATATACAAATAAGACTTTTTTTATGAATAATAGCAGAAAAATAGATCTACTAATTGGCTTTTTGGGTTACTTCTTGCGTAATGATAATATATATATGTGGCTTTAAAGAATGTTCCAACGCCTCATGGATACTTTATATATCTCACATGATTAAATTTAGTTAACAAATTATAGTAAAAAAATATTATATTTGGGGCATGCTGCAACAAAACCAGACAAAGTGAACATTGGTATTACCAAGAATTTCAGGGTTCAAAATTTAGTCATTTGTAATGTGATTATAATTATCAGTTATAATAATATCCCATTTGTTATCTTAAGTGATATATAGAATTACCTCTATATAAAAATAGTTAATATGAAACTAATTTATATCAGATCTACAATGGAACCCAAGAATTACAGCACCATTAGAAGTATTTTGAAGAAAGAACAAGATGAAAAAATTGCTCCTTATATTTTCAAATTAAGTGATACTCAAACACTTGAAGCTTATCTAAGAAAAGAAAAGATTATCTATAAAATTTACTAAGAAGAAAGAAAAATAATAAGTGTTGAAAAAAGAAAGCATCATGATAATGCATTATTACCTAATAAAAAGCAAAAATCTTTAAAAGGATAATAGTTTTATTATTACAATATTTTTTACTAACTATTACTACAAAGAAAATTCACTTTTATGCAAACGTAATCAATGGTCATCATATTGCATTGCTTATCAATAAAAACTGTTGTTTAAGTTTTGAATAAATTCTACTACATTCAAGAATATGTTTTATATGTCTTCGTTTTTCTCTCATTAGTATTGAAACAAGGTAAATAATCCCGCCTTGTATTGGAATATTATAAAAGCATTACTAGTTCACTTAATTTTCAGGTAAAAAAATCAAATAACAAATCCTTCAAATAATCATTGTTAAACACAATTTAAAAAACAAATAATCAATAAATATTTACAATATTTTCATTCACAAAAATGCCTACTTTCAATTGTGAACTTGTTTACGGATTGTTAATTGAACTCTTACTTAGTTTCTTACTTTACTTTAAAACTTATAAAAATGAATTTTATATTATAAATCAAAAAATCAATCAAATAATTGATAAAATACTGTAATTCAGTGCTGGGGTATATTTCACGAATTATTTAATATAGTTGTCTAAGTAACCTCTCAAAGTTTACTTCCAAAACTTCTTATAATAGGACTTGAACCTGTATAAATCCCAAAAATAAAATATATTCTTTTATGAAGTTTACTTCCAAAACTTTTTTACGATTTCCAATTGTATCCAAAAACTAGTTGACTTTCTAATAATGACTTCTGAGAGAATAATAATATTCCAGTTGTAAAATATATACAATCTATAGAGCGTCCTTTTTGGATGAAAAGAATGATTAATTATTAAAGATAAAGGGATTTTTGTTAATAAACGATCAATAGAAAATATTTCAATGTTGATACCCAGATAGGTTATATTATTAATATTATTTTATTTAATATCTTAGAATATTTTATTACAATTATTATTTAAACAATCTAAAGATCGTGAGAAGAAAGCGAAAGAACTGCTCGCTCTTCTTTTATACATTTTTGAAATATTTCCTAATTCTTTCCCGAAGATTCCTTTGGATTACTGGTACCTTCGTGATCTTTCTGAAACCTTCTAAGAAATTCTAAGAAATTCTAAGAACTATTACTAATTATTATTTTTAATTTAAATTTATCTAATTTAAAAAATATTATATATTATATGAATTACTATTTTTGGTAATTTTTAGAACTTGCTAGAACTATTAATAATATAAATTTTATTTTTAGAAATTGTGGTTTAGCCACTATAATATATAGAAAGTTGTAGAAAGTTCAAGAAGAAACTGTAGCAGGGTCTAATATTTTCATTTTCACGTCTCATAATAGAACCAAAAAAGCCAATTTAAAATAAATCAAACAAACTTACTGGCAATAAAAAATATTCACAAGAAATCAAAAATCTATGGAAGGATTTCAAACAATTATTTAATAAAAAAACTGAACTGAATCCAAATTTTTCATTCAGCAAAATAACTATTGAAATTTATGAATTACTTGGAGAGGAAAAAGGTGTTGCTGCTTTCACAATAAAAAACTTTTACCAACAAAAAACAAATCCTAGAAGATAAACAATAGATGCAAAGGAGTAGGTCGATAAAAAAAAAAGAAAGAGATAGAAAATGAAGTTGAGGAGATAACAAAAATACCAAAAATATAAATATTAATAATAATAATATTATTGATAATAATAAAAATAGTAGTAGTAATAATGAAAGTTAAATTTTTGTCAGAGTGCCTAAAGAATAGGTAATATTCACAATGGCTTTAGGTCTGAGTATTTTCCTCCCATGCAAGTACTCTGATGATTTTAACTTAAGATTTTAATGTATTTTTCTATAATTAAAAATAAAAAATTATTATTTTGTCATTTAATTCATTGTTCCATAACAATAAAAAAAATTTAATTATAAGTCATATGCCACTAATTTATCATTGGCCTAAATTATTTATAGAAACAATTAATTGTAACAATTATGATCTAAATTAATAAATAAAAAAATTTTTTATAATTAATTAATTCTACAATTTTTTTTTTTTAAACTTAAATAAATGGTAACTTATAATAATATTAAAGAACAAGAAAGTATTGCACTAGGAGAGTACAGGAAGGCAAAAGAAGAGTTGAAGAAATAGATGAGAATAAGTATAAAAGAAAAAAAGTTAGAAGAGTGGAAGATAGAGTTGATTAAGGGAAACTTGAATGAAGCAAAACAGACGAAGTTGGAAAGACGAATAGACAGACTATACGAAGATAAGAAGAAGGTGAATGATTGGGAGAAATAGGTGGTAGAGTTGCAGAAGGCATTAATGAATTTTGGTGATAAAAAGGTAATGAACAAATTGCGTAAAAAAAATATACAAAAAATTATTTTTCGTTCATTCCATTTCGTTTATTTACTTAATTTGTTTATTTATTTGATTGTTTGATATACTGGTTACAATATTGTCTAACTTGTTTTTTTCTTGTATATTACACTTAATCATAGAGATATATAACTAAGCTAGCATTGACTTTTTATTTATAATGCTTATAGATAATAAAATTAAGGACTTGGAGTTAGAGAGAAAAAGAAAAGCAATGGAAAAACATAAGAAAGATGTGATAGAAACTTGTTTTCATACCTGTCTGTATATTTTATTTCATTGTTCTTACAAATAATTCTTTGCAGTTACAGAAGGAAATAAAGAAGATAGACAGTTAATAGTGCTATTCCAAATTCAGAGTGTAATAATGTATACTTTGTTGATCCAATGAAGGATAGTGTTCCATTTCTTGATATTATTTGGAGAAGTAAATTTGTTGCTTTATATGGTGCACGTATCTCAGAAAAATCCACATGTGTGATTCAAGTTAAGAAACAGTTGATAGATGAAGGCTTTATCTGTATTTAGTAAGCTCTGTTTAATGAGCTCTGTTTAAAGTGAATTGATCATATTTATGGAGTCTAATTGTTGATTCTGTTTCTTTTCTCTTTTGAATAGTGTAACTCTCAAGCTGGTTAACATAGAATCTGTAGATAAATTCTGAATATCACTTGGCTATTCTTTTGAAATCGATGGCACTTCTGATATCAAATTTGCTGGTATCAAATCTGCTAGTGAATTTGCTAGATTTTTTAGTAAAGACAAGTGTAAAAAAAGGGTGGTTCTCTTTGTTGATGAGTATGATGTATTGTATGAAACAGGTGATGATATTAGAGCCTCATTACTTAGGGTTATCTGTGGCATTAAAAATGCAAAAGATAAATATTCTCTCTGGTCTTCTGTGGCTGTTAGTCCCTTCAGTATCTTACATTTGAATTCAAATAGGAGTATATCACCATTCAATGTAAAAGATCCCAAAATCCAAATTTCACGAAGAAGCAAGTATAGTTATTATATAGAAACTTTGCACATGACTATGATTTTATTATTGATCCAGCAATAATTGAAGACATTTACACACAGACAAATGGGTATATGAATTTTATCATAGTCATATGACAAAACAAAAAATCAAAAATTTACTTTTCATGATTCTATTATTTGACAGACATGCTGGCCTTGTATGTCTTTGTGAAAAAGTTATTTATGTAGAAGCTTGATAAAAGAAAAAGGCTTGACTTTTTAACCTGATTAAACTTCCTATTAGTTCATTGCAAAAATCAGTACTAGATTATGCCACCTTTAGAAAGATGGTCTATATACTTACCAAGGATAAAGCCAGGAAAGCCATGCAACTTATTCAACCTACATTCATAGAATTCTTTGATTTAGTACAGATTGTTGACAAAAGAAATTTAGCAGAAGTCTTAACAGCTGAGGGTGTATTAATTAGGGATGAAGAGACCAAAGATAGATTTAAAATGTCATTTGTTCTTGTAGATAAGCTGGTTTGATAAAAAGTTATTCCTGAATTATTCAAGTCCTCCCCAATAGTTGCAGTTCCTGAAAAACGTGATGGATTTCTTGATACTGTCAATATTTTGAAGACAGTTGTCCAATTCTTTGACCAGAACATCATTTCTAGAGTATTCTATCGGTTATTTAAAACAGCACATAATGTATATGTGAAAGGTCAAAAAACAAACATGTTTCCCAAGAAAGTGTCTATGATACAGAGATGAACAGGATCTTAATCAACTGGATTTCCAAATAATGTAATTTTTAGGTTACTTGTCAGTGGCATTTGGTAGAATATCATGCCAATGAAAATGATAAATATACATATAGTCCCTATAAGAAATCGAAATAAGGAAATGATACTTTTTTTTAAGGTTTGTATACGTAATTAATAATTCTATATCAAAATTCCGTATGTTTTATAATGATTTATTTTTTTATAATTTT